TCGTTTAAATGGGTCATTCAATACCAAATGGAGAGCAAGTGCCCTTTCCAGGCTCATGTAAATATGGTGCCCTCTGGTGCATGGTGTTGAACATTACACTTTTCTTTTCAAAACTCCACTCTGGAATTTGAAGGTTTTGTTTTTGTTTTTCCCCAAACATAATCTTCAGTTCGTTTTACTTTCCAAAGTAATTAGGATCACTGTCAGAGTGCTCACACCTGCTGTGACATGAGGAGTACAGAAAGGCCCTTATCATCCAAATAGTAGATCTGCTTATTCCACCATTGTATCTGGCCTTAACTATAATTCTTTGTGGCTTTGCAGGCCCCTGCTAATATTATTTTACCTGGAAGACACATGTTGTGAGATATAATATTTAGAGGCAATCATTTACTACAAAAGATGAATTTGTTAGTATTTAACAAGGCTTCAAAAGTGCTCAAAATGGAACAGGTCTAAGGGTTAACACGTGGTTTTGGTATTTCTTCAACTTTCATCTTTGTGGAGAAATAATATCTTGAAATACTAATACTTGGGTGTGTTTTGCTTCCCAGCCCTTACAGATGACTTTTCCTCTATTTAGTCAAAGATATTGCATCAAGATGAGGTCAGATTATAATAGCAAAAAACAAGAAGTCAATTTTAGGTTAAAAAATCTAAAATATGCTCTTAATATCAAAAAGGGGAAGTGTCGCCAGGCATGGTGGCTCATAGCACTTTGGGAGGCCAAGGCTGGAATATCACTTGAGCCCAGGAGTTTGAGACCAGCCTGGGTAACATGACAAGACCCAGTCTTTACAAAAAAAAAAAAAAAAAAAATTCGCTGGGTGTGGTTGTGCCACCTGTAATCCCAGCGACTGGGGGTGACTTGTGGGTTGTGTGGGAGCTGAGGCAGGAGAACTGCTTGAGCCAGGAGGTTGAGGCTACAGTGAGCTGAGATGGTGCCACTGCATTTCAGCCTGGGTGATAGAGCAAAACCCTGTCTTTAAAAAAAAAAAAAAAAAAAAGTCAGAGGGAGGCCTGAGTGAAGTAGAAACCAACTTTATCATATCAATGGGAAAGCATGTACAGAGGAGCAGATTCCCTGCCCCCTCAGCCTCAAGGGTACTAGAGGAGGTTCAACAAAGCTAGAGGAAGAAGGAGCTGCAAGGCTTGGCCAAGGCAAATATATCCAAGGTTGTGGGGGAGAAGCAAGGGGCTGGGAGCCAGAGGTGACAACCAGGAAAAGGGCAGAACCTACAGGGGATGCTGCAGAGCTCCACTGGTCCCCAGGACCAGAGAGAAGCATGGAAGCTGAACTGCACCTGAGGCATATTTTATTTCCACACCAGGCACCGCTGTTCATCTCCAGCGGGGAGCAGCGTTGTTGCCTGATCGTTCCAACGACGCAAGTGTCAGCTTTCTGTGGAAGCTGCCTGCCGGTCACATGCCGAACATCCAGCACACGCATGCCTCCCACATTCTGAGACGTGGCTGAGTCCCCACCTCTCAACGACATTGGGAAGCACCCCCACAATAACTCAGAATGCCCACCAACCCCCAAAACCAGGTGGTGAAGGTCCCTGACAATCAAACAACTCATTCCTGCTGCACCTTCGCTTTTGACTGAGAAAATTAAAAAGGAAGAGTAAGGCCAGAACCAAAGGATGCATTTGCTCTAGGAACTAGAAAAAAAAAGGAAACAAGAAGGATGATAACCCTCGAGAGTCCCTGCTCTCACTCTCCTCTGTCCTAACTGGATGCTTTAGTTTTGTCAGGAGTGAGGGAAGCTTGACAGATTCTTCATGTCCTGGAGAAAGCAGGGGAGTGGCCCTGTACAGTGGCTCATGCCTGTAATCCCAGAGCTTTGGGAGGTCGAAGCCAGGTGGATCACGAGGTCAAGAGTTCAAGACCAGCCTGGCCAACATGGTGAAACCCCACCTCTGCTAAAAATACAAAAATTAGCCTGGCGTGGTGGCGGGAGCCTGTAATCCCAGCTACTTGGGAGGCTGAGGCAGGAGAATCCCTTGAACCCAGGAGGCAGAGGTTGCAATGAGCCGAGACTGTGCCACTGCACTCCAGCCTGGTGAGACTCTGCCTCAAAAAAAAAAAAAAAAAAAAAAAAGGCAGCGGAGAGGCAGAAGGGGAGGCATGAAGGCACTCTTCGCAAGTCCGCAATAATTTCACTCTATTTGGCGTTCTACCCTCCTTGACACCTAGCTATAGCATTATGTGACATAGCTAAATATCTAGCTACCTTAAGCCACTTTCTTAACCCTTTTGAGTTTCAGATTACTCAGCTCTAAACCTCTCTGATAAGACATTTGTGAGGATTAAAAAGAAAAATATGCAGCATAAACAAGCCATTGAACTTTATTATACATGAGAACCAGAAAGGAGTGGTTCCAGAAGAGTCTACTGCTTGGGAATCAATAAGATATGTACAGAGCAATGGGCTGAAAGGCCTGAAAGAAGAATTTTCCAGGCTCTACACATGGGGAGACTGGGCTGAAGACAGTCTGGAAGCAGACGAGCCTCTGAGCTCTCACTACATGCAGGGTGTTGCTTTGCTCTATTAAACCCTGCAGAGGGCCGGGCATGGTGGCTCACATCTGTAATCCCAGCATTTTGGGAGGCAGCAGCAGGCAGATCCCTTGAGCCCAGGAGTTCGAGACCAGCCAGGACAACGTAGGGAAAACTCATCTCTACAAAAATAAAAAATTAGCTGGGCATGGCATGATGGTTTGCACCTGCAGACCCAGCTACTGGGGAGGCCGAGAGGGGAGAATTGCTTGAGCCCAGGAGATTGAGGCTGCAGTGAGTGGTGATTGCATCACTGCACTCCAACTGGACAATTGAGTGAGACCCTGTCTAAACAAAAACAAAAACAAAAAATCCTGCAGAAGAAGTTACCTTCAAGGGTTCGATGTTTCATTTGATAAATCACAAAGTAATCAAAGGAAAGACCTCAAGAACATTCTAGGACTTTTGTAGAGTCAAAACCAGTCTCTTCAATATGAGAATTGAAGAGGTCCAGAACAAGAAAGAATGAAGAAGTGGTTATTGTAATGGGTAGATTATTATGTACTAAATATGACTAGTGGTAGGAATTCTATGTGCTGGGTGAAGGATATTTATAAAAAGGCCCAAAGGCAGGATATCATGAATTTATTTTAATGTCCTCATGGGAGGAGAATGAGGGATGCAGAGATGTGCAGGGCACACAGATTACTGTTGCTGGAATTGAGGACAGAGGGGAGGGGAAGGAAATACTTGGGGATCTAAGAGTGAGGGTCACAGTTGCATGCCTTGTTTCATTCTCCTGTCCTCTGCACACTGCTCAGGAAATGAGACTGAGAGAAACCAGAAGGGGAAAGAGGGTATGCCTGTCCCAGAGGAGTCTGACGCCTCAAGATGAGACACCTCTGAAAGAAGGATGCAGGATTCTCCTCTCCGGCAGCTCCATCTCCCACAACTTCTCATGCAGATGTCCTGGAGTATGCAGGCAATGAGAACCAACTGTGGCACATTCAGGTTCAGGCCTTAACAAAAATGTAGCAATACCACCAAAAGGAGAAGCCATAGATCCAGATCATCAAAATGGCACTGAAGATCACATGCCAGCAGAAGAAGGTGGTGACAAACATAATGTCATTTCTGTCATCATCCATCCATTGATAGCCAGAGATTGGTTTGAACAGCATAAAGCCTATGTGCATCAGCCAAGAGCCTGTGATCATATACAAAAAGGCCTTCATGGTCCAGAGCAGCAGCATGTTGGGAGCCCACAGCTCTGCGGTCACCACCAGAGTCAGCAGGAACATGGCCTGGGTGAGCAGCACATGAGACTGAAGCTCCACTCCTTCTGTGTCCTGCAGGTGAGACACCATCAGGGGCAGAAATATGAACATGCCCAGAGCTTGGGCACCTTGCTCCAGAGCAGCACATCTCTTAGGCAGCAGGTTCTGGCTCACCATGTCTACACACCCACTCAGCAAGAAAGTCATATAGAGAGTGAGATGCTGCCACTGTTTGCGGAACATAAAGTTCCTCTGATGATACATCTTGCTGATAAGTACAAACTGTCTAGGAATGCTGTGCAATTCTTGGGCTACTAAAATGCAGGCACTCAGTATCTTCAGCAACCCAATGTAGTATATTTGCCATAGCCTTGCCCATCTTCCTTTGCTCCAGGGATGGCGTGGTGGATACTGGACAGGGGCATTGCATATCAAGGCTCTGGAGACAAGTTGTGCATGATAAAGTCCATAGAAGAAGAAAGACAGCCCTGGGTACAGATGACCCTCAAAGCCTCCCATTGAACTGGAAGTAGGTCTGATCAAAGGCAGAAGCAAAAGGCTCAGGAATGACCATTCACTCAGGGCTGCCTCAGGCTCTAGAATGTGGAGGGAGCCTCCTGCGGCTGACTTATATTCTCTATCCAGCCCACTGAATCCACATACAGAAAGGAAATGGTTTTGGAGGAGGCCCAAACCTATGGTGGGGTGGGTGTCATGGTTTCCGTCTGGTCTTCTGCTCTGGTTCATTGGTAATCAGCAAACCGTTGACAAACAATGAAATAAGCATATTCTCCAGCATAATGCTTGGGCATCTGCCATTCTCAGAGATCATGTTTAGAGGGTCTCCCTCTTGTCTCTCCTCCCGCTAACCCTTGACCACATTACTACCTTCCTTACCTCACTCCTGTACTAGTCTGTTCAGGCTACTATAACAAAATACCATAAACTTGTAACTTATAAACACCAGAAATTTGGCTAGATGCAGTGACTCATGCCTGTAATTCCAGCATTTTGGGAAGCTGAGGTGAGAGGATTGCTTGAGCCCAGGAGTTCGAGACCAGCCTGGGCAACATGGTGAGACCTCATCTCTACCCAATAAAAAAACAAAAAAATTATTTTAAAATTAGCTGGGTGCAGTGGTGTGTACCTGTAGCCTCAGCTATTCTGGAGGCTGAGGCAGGAGGATCCCTTTAGCCCAGGAGGTCAAGGCTGCAGAGAGCCATGATCACCTAATCTTGTGGACTTTCATTAGTCTCACAAAGGTAGTTTCAGGCTGGGTAGGGTGGCTCACGCCTGTAATCCCAGCACTTGGGGAGGCCGTGGTAGGTGGATCACTTAAGATCCAGAGTTCAAGACCAGCCTGGCCAACATGGTGAAACCCCATCTCTACTAAAAGTACAAAAATTAGCTGAGCATGGTGGTGCATGCCTGTAATCCCAGCTACTCAGGAGGCTGAGGCAGGAGAATCACCTGAACCCAGGAGGCGGAGGTTGCAGTGAGCAGAGATTGCACTACTGCAGTCCAGCCTGGGCTATAGAGTGAGACTCTGTCTCAAACAAACAAACAAACAAACAAAAAAAAAAACTACAAGAAAAACAAAGGTAGTTTCAGTCTCCAAACAAGGAGGGAGTCAGTTTTAGGGAGGGACTGTTATCTTTCTTGCTTCAAAGTTACACTGTAAACTAAATTCCTCCCACAGTTAGCTTGGCCTATACCCAGGAATGAGCAAGGACAGTCAGCCTGTGAGTCTAGATGCAAGATGGAGTCAGTTAGGTTAGATTTCTCTCACTGTCATAATTTTTTCAAAGGCAGTTTCACTGTGATTTGAATACCCACTCCAAGACTCATGCTGGAATGTAATATTGCCATAGTGACAGTATTAAAAGGTAGGACCTTTAAGGGGCAATTAGGTAATGAGAGTTCTGCTCTCAAGAATGGATTAATGCCATTATCACAGGAGTGGATGCTTAGTGGGTCCCTCATAAACAGAATGAGTTCTGCCCAATTTCCCCTCTCTCTCTCTCTGTCATGCACTCACTCACCATGTGATGCCTTCTGTGATGCCCCTCACTCACCAGATGCTGGTCCCATGCTCGTGGACTTCCAAGCCTCCAGAGCTGTGAGTCAAATAAGCTTTTGTTCTTTATAAATTACCCAGTCTGTGATATTCTATTATAGCAACAGAAAACAGAATAAGTAAATACATAAGAATAAATAAATAAATACTTTAAGTTTACAACAAGTAAACTTTCCAGGCAGTTCTTTCCACTCCATCTCCACCCACTGCCCGTGTTCAGGTATCACCAACTCTGAGTTATTGAAACATGTCTAATCAGGTTCGAATACTCATCTGTTCCTTTCCAAATAACAGATAGATGAGCTTTGGGAATTGAGAGCTAATCACAATATTGACTAATTTAAGTTATCCAGTGGAATCTCATGGCCTTGTAGATAAAATCCATGCCTTTAGAATAAGCTTCAAGGAGCCTTATGCTTTGGCCTGGTCTCATTTCCAGTCCCTTCCCATATGTGCCATTGCCCCAGGCTTATCAGAAGCTTCTAGTTCAACCTGGAATCCTCTTTCTGTCCTCTACACCATCTATATCTGGAGAACTCCTCTTCTTCCTTTTTCCTTCAAGGTTCAGCTTAAGCACTGCCTCCTCCCAGCCGGGCAGAATACTTCTGTCTGCAACTTGTACATATCTGTATCATTGTGCTGGTTACGCCATTTCATAACTGTTTATTTATGGAGATGTCTGTAAAGTTAGAGACTATGTCTTGTCATCTTTGCCTCTTTAGTATCTAGCCCCATGCCTGGAGGTGCTCAATAAATGTTTGATGGATGAATAAGTGAGCAAACTATCAAATTATCATGTAGTCTCTACCGTAAAAGGCTTTATAATCTAGTTATGAAGACAGAACAGATACATACAAACAATGCCAGGTCACTGTTTGCTAAGTGCTAAGTGCCAAATGAGAGGAAAAAATGACCAGAGCTATGCAATTAAAGAAGAGAGCTCACTCCAACTGCAGAATCAGGCCATATGTGATCATTCTTAGTTAACAAGATGAAGAGTCTATGATATGAGGGTTCAAACCTTGACTCCTTTGTCTTTGGGCACGGAGTTGCAGAATGAAAAGATATGGAACACTTGGCGTAATTATAACTTTTCAGCCAGAGACACAGACCTTTTTGCATAAACCAGTGTTTTCTAACACTTTTTTTTTTCATATTTGTGCCCCTAAGAAGCCTTTTCAACATGTTTCTACTCACCACATTCTCCCTATGAAGACTTAATGTCACTCTGCGTGTCCAAAGGTAGCAGGAGCAGGGAGTTGTTGCTATTGAGCCAGATATACCACTGACATCTAGGATGGAGATGGAGCAAGTGGTCCAACTTACCAACTGATGTTGCACAACCTTTACACATGGCCTCTACCTGAGACAACCCTCCAGGTATGCCTGTGGATACTTGGTTGCTCTCTGGCTTACCCCTCAGGGATAGTCTCTAGGGGGCATAAGTCCCAACAGTAAAGTGGGGGCAGTGCTACCCATCACAGTCATCTTGGGGGCCTTTTTAAAAAGCACAGATTACCAAGTTTCACCCTGACCCTAATGGACTGGAGCCCAGGAATCTGCATTATGAATGACACCCCTCTCCCACCACTGGTGATTCCAGTACAGGCCGTCCTTCACCGGTGCTTGGAAACCAGCAACGTGGTCATTAGGCCACATCTGGACACCATCTCCCCACCCTCACTGACCCACAGATTCACTCAGGAGTGTGTGGCAACATCTTTATAACAGCAGAAGCCAGCGATGTTTCCAGGAGAGGCTGGCACTCAACTGGGGACAGGGAGGGCAGTGGAGGGAGGAGGCCAAGAGAGGGAGGCATAGGAGAAGGAGAAAAAGAGAGATAGAGAAGGCTGAGAAAGAACACGGAGAAGTCAGAAAGAATGCAAAGAGGATGAAAGCAGTCCAGATTCTGAGAAGGCAGAAGCGAGGAAGGGGGTTCGAGGAAGCCAGAAAGCTGCACTTTCTCAAGGGTGTGGGTGAAGTTAGAATTCCTCCTGGTCCAGGCCCCCGGAGACATTATGGGTTAGTGATTAAGAAAATGAGGAGCGTGACTGTGTTTGAGACCTGGTTTGGCCATTTTCTAGGTGGATGATTTAAAACAAGTTATTAGGCCAGGCGCGGTGGCTCACACCTGTAATCCCAGCACTTTGGGAGGCCAAGGTGGGTGGATCGCTTCAGGTCAGGAGTTTGAGACCAGCCTGGCCAACATGGTGAAACTCCATTTCTACTAAAAGTACAAAAATTAGCCAGTCGTGGTGGTACATGCTTGTAATCCCAGCTATTCGGGAGGCTAAGGCAGGAGAATCACTTGAATCCAGGAGGTGGAGGTTGCAGTGAGCCAAGATTGCACCGCTGCACTCCAGCCTGGGCAACTAAGCAAGATTCCATCTCAGAACAACAACAATAACAAGTTATTTATCTTGTCTAAGACTCAAGTTCCTCATACGTAAATGAGGAATTATGGGGATTCCACAAAATATTGTATTTCAAAGCAAGTTATAAATATAAATAGCTAGCCAGGCTTGGTGGGGTGTGCCTGTAGTCCCAGCTACTCAAGAGGCTGAGGTGGGAAGATTGTTTGAGTTCAAGACTGCAGTGAACTATGATCGTGTCACTGCACTCCAGCCTGGGTGACAGAGTGAGACCCTATCTCAAAAACAAAACAAAACACCAAAACCTAAATAAATAAATACATAAATCCTTTTATATTAAATCTATATATTGTATTATATTACATTATATGCTAAATATATTAAATGTATAATAAGTATATATAAAATAAATATATTAAATAAATGCGTAGTCTTAGGACCGGATGAGACCAGTAAAGCTAATTTCTTCCAAATTCCTCTTTTTCTTTTACAGGTGAAGAAGCCGAAGCCCACAGAAAAGTGACTTACGGGATGTCACATAGTCAGTGGGTTAGTTGGTAATAAAATATATGCTGAGATGCTCAATCACAAGGCAACTGTCAACAAGAAATACAAGAACACCCCACCCAGCTCAGCACAAGGCACAAATGTTAAGTGGACGAAGGCTGTCACTGCAGTCTTTGAGAGCCCTTCTTCCCACGGAGCCTGCAAACTCATGTGAGAGCCCAGCACTCAGGCGGGCCCGCGAGCTGGATCTTGATCTTCGGTCCCACACTGTCTAACCTCTCAGTGATATTGTCAGGAGTAGAAACCAGAGCTGGGGGACAAGGAGAGTCAGCACCAAAGAACGGCAACCATCTCTGCAGAAGTGTCTTACACTGATACCCAGTGCCATACACATGCCTACCATTCAAATGCCCCCTTGTGTAAATCCTGAAGTCTAGAACACAACTGATAAAAGCTCTAAGCAAATCTCCAGTTATTTTGAAGGCAGAAGGGAAGAGGCTGATAAACATGGGGTCCGGGAACACAGATATTTAAAAGTAAAAATTTACCTGACTTTATCCAGT